ACTCAGGTGCCCCAACACAGGTCTTATTTAAAAGGAAATATTAGGGGCGCCTGGGTGGCGCAGTCGGTTAAGCGTCCGACTTCAGCCAGGTTACGATCTCGCGGTCCATGAGTTCAAGCCCCGCGTCGGGCTCTGGGCTGATGGCTCGGAGCCTGGAGCCTGTTTCCGATTCTGTGTCTCCCTCTCTCTCTGCCCCTCCCCCATTCATGCTCTGTCTCTCTCTGTCCCAAAAATAAATAAATGTTGAAAAAAAAATTTAAAAAAAAAAAGGAAATATTAACTTTTTCACATAGGTATTACAAATTTCCATTATATTGAGTTTTTTTAAAAAATGGTTATTTATTTTTGAGAGAGAGAGAGTGAGGGAGGGCAGAGAGAGAGGGAGACAGAGAATCCCAAGCAGGCTCCACACCATCAGTGCAGAGCTCCATGTAGGACTCTATCTCATGAGCCGTGAGATCATGACCTGAGCCAAAAACAAGAGTTGGATGCTTAACCGACTGAGCCACCCAGATGCCCCCATTTTATTGAATTTTGATCAAAGAATCCTGTCTGCATGGATTTTGTTTTTTGAAATTTATTGAGGTTTCGTTTTTTTGGCCTAAAACTTGGTTAGTTTTTGTGATTGTTCCCAATAGTTTTGTACAGAATGTATTTTTTTTTTTAATTTAATGCTTATTTTATTTTTGAGAGAGAGAGAGAGAGAGAGCATGAGCAGGGAAGGGCAGAGAGAGAGGGAGTCACAGAATCCCAAGCAGGCTCCAGGCTCTGAGCTGTTAGCACGGAGCCTGACATGGGGCTCAAACTCAGGAACCCGTGATATCATGACCTGAGCTGAAGTTGGATGCTTAACCGACTGAACCACCCAGGTGCCCCAGAATACATTATTTTCTGTTTGTCTAGGACACAATACCTGTTATCTTTTGGATCAAGCTTGTTAATTCTGTATGGTTACCTGTTATCTTTTGGATCAAGCTTGTTAATTCTGTATGGTTATCGTTGTGTGATTTGTGAATTTCTAAGAAAGGTTAAAAGTCTCCCACTATAAGAGCAAATTTTTAACTTTTCATTTTTTTTCAGTTTTTGGATTAAATAATTCAAAAGCTCTATTGTTTGATATGTAAAATTTCAGGACTGTTGTATTTTTTTGTTGGCTTGTACCTTTTTGTAATTTTTTACTTTCTTGGCTTGTACCTTTTAGCATTTGATAACTTTTATCTTGACATCTCTTTTATCAGGTATTAATATTGCTACAGCTTTATTGAAATATAATTTATATTTATTCATACAATTCATCCATTTAAATTGTATGATTTAATGATTTTTATTATATTCACAGAATTCTGCAACCATTACCACAATAAATTTTAGAACATTTTCATCATCCCCAAAAGAAACCTCATACTAAGAGCTACTCACCATTTTCCCCCAACTTTCTTCCTCCAACCATGAAGCTACTACTGTCTGTATAGATACATTTGCCTGTCTGGACATTTGGTATAAATAGAATCATACAATATGTGGTCTTTATGTCTGGCTTCTTTTTCTTAGCATAAGATTTCCAAGGTTCACCCATACAGTGTGAACCTTGTATTTCATTTCTTTTTATTGCCAAGTAGTATTCCACTGTATGGATAATAACACATTTTTGTTCAATTCATTCATCAGTTGATGGATATTTGGATTGTTTCCACTTTTTGGCCATTATAAGTAATGCTACTGTAAACATTCATGTACATGTTTTGCACTGACATGTTTTCATTTCTCTTGAGTATATACCTTGGAGTAGAATTCTGGGTCACATGATAACTTTCTATTCAACATTTTAAGGAACTGCCAATTGTTTCCTAAAGTGGCTGTACCATTTCACAACATTACTAGCAATGTATGAGTGTTCTAATTATTCTACATTCTCACCAACACATGTTCTTATCTAGCAGGTATTTCATTGTGATTTTGATTTGTGCATCCCTGATAGTTAATGGTGTTACTCATCTTTTTCTTTGCTTAGTGGCTATTTGTGTATCTATTTAGATCCTTTGCTCATTAAAATTTTTTTTTTAATGTTTATTCATTTTTGAGAGACAGAGAGAGACAAAGTGCAAGCGGGGCAGGGGCAGAGAGAGAGGGAGACACAGCATCTGAAGCAGACTTCAGGCTTTGAGCTGTCAGCACAGAGACTGACATGGGGGCTTGAACCCACAAACCACGAGATCATGACATGAGCTGAGGTCGGATGCTTAATCGACTGCGCCACCCAGGCACCCCAATCCTTTGCTCATTTTAAAACTGGGATGTCTAGGGGCGCCTGGGTGGCGCAGTTGGTTAAGCGTCCGACTTCAACCAGGTCACGATCTCACAGTCTGTGGGTTCGAGCCCCGCGATGGGCTCTGGGCTGATGGCTCAGAGCCTGGAGCCTGTTTCAGATTCTGTGTCTCCCTCTCTCTCTGCTCCTCCCCCGTTCATGCTCTGTCTCTCTCTGTCCCAAAAATAAATAAAAAACGTTGAGAAAAAATTAAGAAAATAAAACTGGGGTGTCTGCGTTTTTAATTATTGAGTTGTGTAAATTCTTTATATGTTCTGTATACAAGTCCCTTTATCAGACATATGATTTTCAAATATTTTTTTTTCATTCTGTGGGTCATATTTTCACTCTCTCGCTGGTATCATTTCAAAAGTTTTTAATTTTGATGTAGTTTACTTTTATTTATTTTTTGTTATTGTTGCTTGTGTGTTTGGGTGTCATCTAAGAAACCATTGTCTAACTCAAGGATGTAAAGATTTACTCTTATGTTTTCATCTAAGAGTTTTATAGTTTTAGCCCTTTCCTTTAGATCTATGATCCATTTTGAATTAATTTTTGTTAAGTGGTGTGAGATAGTTGTTCAGCTTCATCCTTTTGCATCTGGATATCCAGTTGTCCCACATGCTTTTTTTTTTTAATTAGTATTTACCTACTATACCTTCCTGTTCCTTTACTTTTACATATCATCATAACTTTGTAATTTAGATGTTTGCTATGTGAGATTCAACAGTAATCCCCATTTCACAGATTTGATGAAGTGTTTGAAGTTTGAATGACAGACCCATGCATAGAGGCAGGAAATAGGCACAATAGATAGGATAGGTGTTCTGATTTCTCACCTCAACCCGGAAGCTATTTTCTGACTTCTGAACCATTTAAAATTTTTTAAAATGTTTATTTATTATTGAGAGACAGACACAGAGCGTGAGCAGGGGAGGAGTAGAGAGAGGGGAGACACAGAATCTGAAGTAGGCTCCAGGCTCTGAGCTGTCAACACAGAGCTCGACAAGGGGCTTGAATTCATCAACTGTGAGATCATGACCTGAGCAGAGTCGGTTGCCCAACCAACTGAGCCACCCAGGCACCCCTCTGAGCCATCTAAATAAGTCCATCTCACTCACATTGAATTCTAAATATTCACAACAGCTCATCCCCTGGTGTGGTCAGGAAGGAATTACTAACCTTATTCCTGTTTAATGGAAACTTTCAAAATGATGGTATACTTCAGTTTTTTCATTTTGGAGGTCAAGGCTATTGGGAAGATCCAACAGGGCTCTAAAAAAGTCACAAGGACAGTTAAGATCCTCCCACACCACAATATTTCTACTACTTTAGTTTTTTCCTATCTTTTTTCTTTATTTATTATCCAAATGACTTTTATTTGCATAACTGCTTTTTGTCCCACTCAGCTCATTAGTCTCTTCACTCAGTGAAAGACTTTGTTATGGTACTTCTTTACTGAGCACTAAGAAAATTTGATGTTAATGTACATGGAAAGGGTTGATAAGCAAACATGATGGAGTATAGAATCAAGAGGCTTTGGAAGTCAATCGTCTTAACTTAGGGGTTCTTAACCTTGGTGCTATTGACATTTTGGACTAGATAAATCTTGATTGTGGGGGCTGTCCTGTGCATTGTAGGAGGCTTAGCTGCATCCCTGGCCTCTCCCCACTAGGTTCTGGCAACCAAAAATGTCTCCAGACACTGCCAATGTCTCCTAGAGGGCAAAATTACTCACAGCCAAGAATTACTGATTTAACCATATAATCTCTTTTGCACATCCTTTCCATAACCTCTAATATAGCAGTTAAGTGGTTAAATGTTTAAAAATTTCCAAATGTTCTGCATCTTTTGTATTGTATTAGGGTCTCTGAAAATCTATGTCTTAACCGACAGGCAGCTATTTCAAAAGTGGAAGAGTGGGCTAATACTTGGTTTGACGTGTCACAATATTATTAGCCCCATATGTACGAACTATGATTTTCAAACAATGTGTTTGAAAAGTGAGGGAACCACCCTGGAATACAGTATGGAGGTTCCTCAAAAAGTTAAATATAGAACTACCTTATGACTCAGCTATTGCACTACTAGGTATTTACCCAAAGGATACAAAAATATTGATTCTGGGGCACCTGGGTGGCTCAGTTAGTTGGGCGTCCAACTTGAGCTCAGGTCATGATCTCACGGTCTGTGAGTTTGAGCCCCGCATCGGGCTCTGTGCCAATAGCTCAGAGCCTGGAGCCTGCTTAGATTCTGTGCCTCCCTCTCTCTCTGCCCCTTGCCCGCTCCCACACTGTCTCTCTCTCAAAAATAGACATTAAAAAATTAAAAAAAAATACTGATTCTAAGGGGCACATGCACCCGATATTTATAGCAGTGCCATCAACAATTGCCAAATTATGGAAAGAGCCTAAATGTCCATCAACTGATGAATAAAGAAGATGTGGTAAATACATATAATATTACTCAGCCATCAAAAAGAGTGAAATCTTGCCATTTGCAATGACATAGATGGAGCTAGAGTGTATTATGCTAAGTGAAATAAATCAGAGGAAGACAAATACCAAATGATTTCACTCATGTAGATTTTAAGAAACAAAAGTTGGACATAGGGGGAGGAAGAAAAAAAGAGGGGGAGGCAAAGTATAAAAGACTATTAACTACAGAGAACAAACTGAAGATTGCTGAATGGGAGGTGCACGGGGGATGGGCTAAATGGGTGATAGGAGGGCACTTGTCATGAGCATTGGGTGTTATAGGTAGGTGATGAATCACTTAAATTCTACTCCGGAAACCAACATTACACTATATGTTAACTAACTAGAATTTAAACAGAAACTTGAAACAAAAGAATACTGAGGGAAAAAACAGCATCTGTCAAAAGTGGTGCCATGATAGCTTCTGATTTCTGAGGCCATGAGACACAAAGTCCAACTGGAAAGTTCTATCATGAGCATAAATTCTCTAGAACTCTTTCAATATTTGAAGGGTGTATAATTTGGGTAACTTGCCCTGTAAAATTAAAAGACAGTAGATCTACACTTGGCTTATGTAAATATGAATTTTTATAGATTATGTTTTCAGGTAGTTGGCGAGACTAAATATGTCTAGAAAAAGACCTCAGTTATATGTCCAGCACAAATTTTTGGCTGAGAACTCCTAGTGCTCTTGGATCAAATTGGATTTTTTTTATTCCAGTTTAGTTAACAGTGTTAGTTTCAGGTGTACACTATGGTGATCCTCAAATCAGAAGAAACTTGCTGAGTCCTTTGTAAAATTCTTCATTATGTTTATTTGGAATTAAGCAGGCATCATTTGGAATATGCAAACATTGAACAACTGAGTGAAACCTATATTCACAAAAATACACAACTATATTTCATGCTGGTAATTAAAAAGTTTAGAAAAAACCAGTCAATAAAGCAACATGCAGATTTATTCTTCAAAGCTATGCACATACATTGCAATCAATAGTCCTGTTTTTGGCATTGGGACATCTCACTCAATATCAAGTACCTGATTAGGGTTACCTGTCATCTTTTGTCACAGAGGATTTTTTTTTTTGCTTTGTTTCCAATTTCCTGATTTATAATGATACTAAATTATTTTTACCATCTTTGCATGTATAGTGAAGGAAAAGATCACTAGAAAATGCTTTCCGGGTTCCACTTAAAGTTAAAGCAAAAAGTATGGAGAAGGACGCCTGGGTGGCTCAGTTAGTTAAGCATCCACATTTGGCTCAGGTCATGATCTCATTGTTCATGAGTTGGAGCCCCACATCTGGCTCTCGCTGTCAGCACAGAGCCTGCTTCAGATTCCACTTTGGCTCCTCTGTCCCCCTTCTCTCTACTCCTCCTCTGCTTGTTCTCTCTCTCTCTCTCTCTCTCTTTCAAAATAAATAAACTAAAAAAAAAAAAAAGTATGGAGAAAAAGTCTGTGTTCCCAGTTACGACACAAGACGAAAAGTTAACATAGCTTCCTTAAAATATCAAATTCAAGATTTAATTTCATTATGGCTGGGGACAATAACTAAAATCAATGTCACTCTGTTCTGATGTACAGAGGCTCAGCAAAGCAATTTTGAACCTTTCTATTTCGTATGGCATCTTTCAACTTGCTTGACTTTCAGGAGTCCCAGTGCTCTCTCTCACTGTTGGGCCTCTGCGGCGGGGGCGGGGACGGCGGTGGGGGTAGTGGTAAACTCCCTCTGGAATCCAGGTGGCTCGCTTTAGTCTCCGGCTCACCCAGTTAACCAGGGGCCAGCTTTGCCCGCGGCGGGGTGGTGACTGATGGTCCCGGGCTCTCACCCCACGCGAGCTTCCCTGTGAGCCCCCCACAGCAACCTCAGACCCCCACGCGTTCAGCGGTCCCTCGAGCCATCCCCTGCAGTGCTGGGAAGGCGTTCACCAATCCCAAACCCTTCCCTTGGCCGGCTCCCGCTGTCTGGGCACCTCCAGGGAGGGGAGCTGTCCCGCGCGCGCCTTTCCCTGCGGGCGCGAGAACTCGGGCGCCGGGTGCCCGGCGGCGGCCGGCAGTCCAGGGCGAAACCGGGCGGGGCGGCGGCGCGGGTCCGAGCGCCCGAGGCGCCGGCGGAGCACGTGACCACGCCGCGCGGGGCCGGGC